GGCAAGGCCTGAGGTTTTCCAGTGTTAATTTAGTGGGAGGGGAGGTGGGGGAGGTACTGGGATTCTGGGCAGTGAGCTTGGTTAGTGTGCGAGAGACTGTTACCTGCGTCTATAATGATATTCAACGGTGAGAGAAAAGCTGGGAAGGTCTAAGTCATTTATCTCGTGGTTCTTGATTTACAGAGGAATATTTTCCCCGTGTGATAGATACGTGGGTGTGCTTCTGAAATTGCTTAGTTGATGTACTAGTTAGACATTTGGACCATTGTATTTAAAGATGTAAGTTGGGCAGTAGTAAAATGATCTGACCTAGTTGTTTATATAGAGTTGCAGCCAGGACAGTGGTATTAAGTGTTCAGTTTCTTCAGGGAAAATATGCATGTTTTATCCGGTAGAAATGCTAAGATTAAGGATCTGGGTTAGCTGGTCAAGTGGTTGATATGTAAGCATGAGACTTGAGTGTGAATCCCCAGCACCCTTGTGAAAAGCTGGGCGTGGGAGTCTTTGTCTGTAATCCCAGGCCTCAGGAGACGGACACAGGCAGAGTGCTTTCTCTGGCCAGCCTAGCCAAGTGGGTGGGCTCCAGGTTCAGTGAGAGACCCTGTCCCCCAAAATAAGATGCAGGGCCTGCAAGATGGCTCATAGGTAAGGGCTCTGCACCAAGCCTGACAACTAGAGTTCAGTCCCTGGAACTCACATGGTAGGAGAGGAGCAATTCTTGTAAGTTGTCCTCTGGCCTCCATGGGGGTACTGTAGCATGGTTCCTCTTCTACTCCCCAAATAAATGTATGTTAAAATAAAAAATAAGGTAGAGAGAGATTGAGGAACACACCTCAATGGCCTCCATACACATGCATACACATCTGCACATGGACCTGCATTCACTTGTGTAAACACACACACACACACACACACACACACACACACACACACACACGCCCCATAAATACATACACAGCTAAAATTAGCAAGCTTTTTTATTTAATTTGGCCAGTGTAGAAGTCGGTAAAGATTTCTGTCTAATGAAGAAAAGTAGGGGCAGTTAGGGAAGACTGGGAACCTCATAGAAGGCAGTCCTCAAGTGCAAGTCAACTGGAGGTGGACTAGCTGAAGTCAGGCTAGCACTTCGCTCTTTGCCCATTTCCACTGTGTTCACGTCTCACATTGGTGCATCTGATGTTGCTCTAAGTGATCAGGGCCTGTGCAGGGCTGTGCCGGTTAGTTTCTGTCCACTTGACACCAGCTAGAGCCAACTGGGAGGTGGGACCCACAGTTGAAGATATGCCTCCATCTGATCGGCCTGTGGGTATATCTGAGGCCATTTTCTTGATTGTTGACAGGTGTGGGAGAGCCCCGCCCACTATGGGTGTATCCACCTCTGGGCAGGTGGTCCTGGGTTGTGTAAGAAAGCAGGCTGAGCGAGTCATAGGAAGCCAGCCAGAGCAGTGTTCCTACAGTCTCTCCCACAGTTCCTCCCTCTAGGGTCCTGCTTGACTTCCCTCAGTGATGGAGAGCCACCTGGATAAGATGCAACAAATCCTATCTCCAAGTTGCATTGGGTCAGTGTTTTGTCCCAGCAGCAGAGACGCTAAGTAGGACAACTGTTTTGGCTCTGGAGACCAAGAACCCATCTACTTACCAATCTGCGTCTTGCCTTTGGCATTCAGCTGCTCACGCTGATTGAGTAATCTGACCAGATTTTTGTGGTGGCTTAACCATTTCAACACGACCAAGCGTGCATATCTTTATGTGCATTTCACAGGCCAGGGAACAAACAGTTCAGCAGCCCGAATCAAAGTCTTGCTCTGTTCAAGATTCTTCTCTTTATCTGCTTCAATTTCCAGCACCGACAACAATAGTAATTAAAAATATTCTATGGACTCCCTAAAGTATGTCACCCAATACACAGCCAGATTAGCTGTGAGTTTCATACATATTTTGTTAATTGCTTTTCAGGGAGGGAATATGTCGTTGCCGTGTGGGAGCGGCGGCCATCTGCCTATCTGATATCTCTCTGTATGTTTTTCTAAGCAGCTTCTGGAGCTCAGCTACTCTCAGGGATCCTGGCCTTCGTGATCACTCTGCCACTTGAGGTTTGCAAGGGTCGAGCATTGTGTGGAACGAAGGCTTGGAAAGCCAGTCTCTTCCAAGTACCAATTTCCAGAGGTCTAATTACAGTTCTTGAAATCAGTGAGGGGGCTGGGAAAGTGGTACAGCAGGGAAAGTGTGGGCCACTCAGACTGGAGTTTAGTTTGCCTCCCCAGCACCCTCGCAAGTCAATCCAGTCAGGACAGAGCCGGCCCCTAGCCCAGGGCTGGGGTGGGGTAGAGATGGGCAGATCCTTGAAGCTCATTGGAACGCACATGGTGGGAGGAGAGAACGGAGTCCTGCAAGTTACCCTTCAACCTCTGGGTGCTGTAGGGATGGTTCATCTTCTCCCCCGACCAAATAAATATATGTTACAAAAAAAAAAAAAAAAAAGCAAAACAGAAAAAACCGGTAGATTGAGGAGCACACTCAAAGGCTTCCACACATGCTTATACACACACACACATCTGCACATGTGCCTGTGCTCACATGGATCAAGGTGAAGAGGACTGAGGAAAAAACTTGACTCTGGCTCCTACGTGCACAAGCATGTGTATGCCCACCGGGACACACCTGTGTTTGCAAGGGCTCTTGAATGCGCATGCTCGCGCAAGCACACACACACACACACACACACACACACACACACACACACACTAAAAATATCCTTGCTGAGGATTTTAAAGAGAGATGACTAGAAGTGCGTCACGAGCTATCTTTGAAGCCCGCGTGAGCTCATGTTTAGATTGCAGTGCGTGGACATTATGCTCAGCTTTTCCCTTATCACTGCATTGTGCTTCCGATGACTTTGTGGTCAACTCCGCTGTGAAGCAGAAACAGAGCTTCCTTCCCTTTTGTACGTTTCTGGAATAAATCGTTTAGCTCTCTCGTCTCCCACCATGTCTGTTACTACTTGAGGACCAGAATCTTAACATCAGTTTCTTAATTTCGAAAACTAAGCCAGTCTACAGAAATGCCTAGCCTCCTTTTTTTTTTTCTTTCATTGTTCATGGACATTCAGGTTGGAAGCAATGTTTAGTTAGTTCAGTGTCTTCCCCAGCGTGGGTGGGGTAATCGGATGCCTGTGGGTACAGTTCCTCTTCATTCCGGAGTAGTTTGCTTCCGTGTTGGCTTGTTACAGGAGCGCACCTCAGGAACAGTGTTCCCGGTTCGAACCGCGTCTTTGGGGAGTCCGTACTTCTCATTAAGATCAAACTGTAAGCTCGTTCATGCCGTGTCTACTTGTTAGACTCTCAGTCATGTTTTCAGAATTGAAATTTATGTTTCCATGGAAAAGTTGGAATGAGTTCATATGGAAATGGAGCTGTTGTGACAAGAGAGCTCCTCATCCAAAAGATGTGGGAGGGAAACTGAGGACTGCCTCCTCCCTCCCTCTCTCCTTCCCTTCCTCTGTTCCTCCCCCTCTCTCTACTTACCTACCACCCTACCTACAGATGCTAGGCAGGCATCTGTGTTCCCAGACCTTTGAGACTGCAGGCTTCCGCCGTTAGGCCCGTCTGGGGACCGGACGGCGTTTCTCTTACAGGGAAATGGGGTGGTGCTCTCTTCATGGGAACATCTTAGTCACTGATTTTTTTTATTGGCCCCTTGCCTCCCACTGTGATGTGGACACAGGGTGAGTGCATTTCTGTGGTGGAAGCAGAAAGAATTCTAGTCCAGGCCAGCCTGACTGCTGACCTCATTGAGAGAGAGAATGTTCTGGAAGTCTGAATACATTAATTTTAGGTAGTTCCCTGGGTCCAGTTTTGAAAATGTCTTTTCCTAACTTAACACAGGGTAGTGTGCCTACATCCTCGGCCTCACGTTGTTTTCTTTTTTTTTTTTTCCCTGCTCCTGCCGGGCCACAAGGAGGAGGAGGGTCCCCCCTGGGCCATGACTGCAGAGTGTGCAGAACTGGCCGGGAGCTGGGTGGCCCTTGGTGGTGGTGTGGTTAACTGCAGAGTCTGCCCAGTGGGCAAAGCCAAGCGGCCCTCAGGAGGGTGGTGACTGTGGTGGGGGGCAGTTCCCCTCGCTGGAGCTGGGACTAAAATTTCTGGTGACGGGAACTTAAGGGAGAGACTGGTGGGAGGCCTCTCAGGGAGTCGAGAACATGGTTGGTACACGGGCTTCTAAGTGTTGCTGTCTCTTTCCTTAAGTGGCCGCAGCTGCTGTCTGGCTCCTGGTTTTTTAGTCTTCCAGCAAAGTTGAGGAGAAAGAAATTTCCTTCCCAGCCCCAGAGAGATGGAAAATCAGGCTGTGGCAAGACTCATCTTGGATGGTATGCAGTTCCGGTTCAGTTGAGGCAGGCCAGGCTGCCGCTCCTGAGGGATGGGAAAGGCTCCTGAGGCAGGAGGATTTTTTTTTTTTAAAGGTGAAAGTGAAATCTAATTAGTAATTCAGGAAACTCCCTATTGTTTTGAAAGGAAACAAGAGTTGCTTTTCTTTGGTTATTTGTGTGGTACTTACCAAGTTGATGCTTCTAGTGCTCAGTGGGGATGGGGATGGGGATGGGGATGGGGGCGGGGCTGGGTGTTGGGGGTGGGTAGAAACACTATCAAAGTTGTATATACTGAAGCAGAACTTAGTAGTACTTTCTTTACTACCCACCTTAAGGTTCAAATGAACTCTCTCTCTCTCTCTCTCTCTCTCTCTCTCTCTCT